ATATATATATATATATATATATATATATATATATATATTTATGTTATTTTATATATGTGTGTCTCATATATACATATATAACACACACGTACACACATATATGCATATAACACACACATATATACATATGTAACATAACATGTATATATAATTTTCCTTGAGAAATATTATGTATACTCTCCACTGAGGACTTCAATTACCTGCCTATTAGACAGCTTCAAGTTTTTCTGTAGTTCACTGATGCTTTGTCTACTTTTTTTCAGACATTTTCCCCTCTGCCTGTCATTTTGCATCATTTTTATGGCTATATATTCAGGTTTGCTAGTCTTTTCTTTAGCAGTGTTTTGTCCGTCATTAATTTCATTTAGTGTGTATTTTTAAAATCTTAGACAATATGCTTTTTACCACTAGACTTTTGATTTTGGTGTCATTTTATACTGTCCATATCTGTATGCAACATGTTTAATCTTTCTCAGCTTTTCTGAGCATACTGAATTCACTCATAACAATTGTTTCAATATCCCTGTCTGAAAATTTTAACACCTGTGTCTGTTTTGTTGTGTTGGTTTTGACTGATCATTTTCCTTGTTATCCATAATCTTTTAAAGCTTCTTTGCATATCTGCTAGTATTTTACTGGATGCCAGGTATTGTGAATTTTACCTTGTTGTATGCTTGATAGTTTTGTATTCCTGTAAACATTTCTGAGCTTTGTTCTGGGATACGGTTATGTTACTTGGAAACAGTTTCATCAGATGTTGCTTTTAAGGTTCGTTACGCAGGGCCAGAGCAGTCATTAGTCTAGAGCTTGCTTGCTCTGTATAGTTCCTGAATACTGTTTCCCTAACCCTTTTAGATGGTTCTTTTCCTGGCCATGGTTCATTTCCTCACACAGATGCACTGATTATTATTATTCTGCAGAATCCCAAGGTAAACTCTCTGCATATCATGTTCTGTGCTATTTTCTATTCTCTAGTATTCTTCCCTGAAAGATCTAACCATATTTTTTCATTGGAGTTGGTCTGTGTTCTTTCTGTACCACACCCAGAAATCTTTCTTAAGGTTGTAAGCTAGAGCAATCATAAGAATTACCTCATTTGTTTTCCACATCTTAGAAACTACCTTTTATTTTTGTCGGATTCCACGATCCTGAAAATCATTGCTATTTGCATTTTATTTGGTTCTTCAGTCTTTTAGATTAAATGGAAGGGTAAAGCCAGTTCTTGTAACTCATCTTGTTTGAAGCAGAAGCTTCTCTTCATTAGTATTTGGGAGATATATATATATATATACACATACATATAATGGATATGTGAATTATAAATAATAATGTAAATTATACCAGTTACTATAACAAGCAACCCCAAAAATACAATATTACCGATGCCTTATAGCAGAAATCCCCAAGCCCAGGGCCACTTACTAGTCTATGGGCCATGGCGTGTTAGGAACCAGGCCACACAGCAGAAGGTGAGCAACAGGCAAGTAAGCATTACTGCCTGAACTCCACCTCCTGTCAGATTAGCAGAGGCATTCAATTCTCATAGGAATGTGAACCGTATTATGAACTATATATGTGAGAGATCTAGGTTGCAGCTCCTTGTGAAAGTCTAACTAATGCCTGATGATCTGTGGTGGAACAGCTTCACCCCGAAATTATCCCCATCCTACCCCAGTCCGTGGAAAAACTGTCTTCCAGGAAATCAGTCCCTGGTGACAAAACAGCTGGGGACAGCTGACTGATAGTGCCTATATCTACTTCTTTTATGCTGTATCCCACTCCTAAGACTGCCCTCTCTTCAGTATTAACAATTATCCTCATTTTTATGTCTATTAATTTTATTATATTTAAAAATATATTTATCAAATGCATATTTGCTTAAACAATATCATATTCATTGTGCTTTTCTGATTTCCCCCTTATATTACTTAATATCAGTTTTTAAGTTTCAACCACATTTTTATTTGTAAAACATTTATTTTATCGGTTTATTGACCCTTCTCCAGGCAGTGAATATATTTAAGGTTTCAGTTTTATGTTATTAATGAAGATCGATTTTTATCAACATTCTTTTCCAACGCCACTCTCTATTTTTTTGTATGTGAATAACTTGTTTGTTGCATTTTCCCCCGCATCTGTCTGGCTGATGGAAAGACATTACTGCTGCTGTTATTACATTTTAACAATGTATAAAATGAAGTTTCTTTGCATAATTTTTTTGCTTTGAACTTGCTGAATTTTTAAAATAATCACATGCAGGTCTCTTTTCTTTAGGAAATGTCTTTTAAAAAATGGTTTTGAATATTTCTTTGAATCATTTGTTTTAGCCTCTTCTTAAGGAAATTTATCAGCAAGTCAATAGAATTACCATTCTTTAGTCTTCTGGCCTGTTAGCTTTTCTTCCATTATCTTTATCTGCTTGTTTTTGTATTTCAAGAAGGCACACATGTACCACTCACAGATTTATTTTTTATTGATTGATTTATTTAACAAATATCTATTGAGTTCCTAATGTGAGTCTTCATATCCTCTGAACTTTTCAGCCTCTAAAGTACTTTTAATTCTGTTATTTGTATTCCTTTCTTATTTCATTCACCTCATTTTCTTCTTGCTCTGTCCGTATTCCTTTTCACCTTGTTACCTTCTCAGAAAAGCTATGATTTGTCATCTATGCTTACCAGTTTCTGTCATTGTCTTTGGATCCCGGAATAAATACAATTCAAATAGCAATTCTAGATTGTTTTCCCTTTCTTTTTTTTTTTATTTAATATACATTTATTGTAAAAGCAATATACAATAAAAATACAGAATAGCATTCTAACAAGCCACAAGGCTTTGTTTCTTCTTGGTTTGTTGTTGAGATACATTAAAATATTAAGCATCGGCTCAGTGTGGTAGCTCATGCCTGTAATCCCAGCACTTTGGGAGGCTGAGGCGGGTGGATCACTTGCGTTCAGGAGTTTGAGAGCAACCTGGCCAATATGGCAAACCCCTACCTCTACTAAAAATACAAAAATTAGCTGGGTGTGGTGGCCCACACCTCCAGTCCCAGCTACTCAGGAGGCTGAGGCAGGAGAATCACTTGAACCCAGGAGGTGGAGATTGCAGTGAGCTGAGATCAGGCCACTACACTCCAGCCTGGGCAACAGGGCGAGCCTCTGTCCCAGGAAAAAAAATAAAGCATCACCACTATTATATTATAAAATATGGTTAACACTGTTGCCAAAAACACATTTTCTTTGCAATTTATATTCTTCCTCATTAAATGTTGCCCAAATACTTATAGATCCTACTGCTGATCACCAAAATTTTATAGTCTTATCTTGCAAATACAGTACATATACAATAAAACGGTTGGAAAACATGTAGAGATTGACCACAAATAAGGCCCACAAGGTACTGCTGTGTAATGTATCTACCATCAGGTTAATCAGGCCAGTTGTTATATTTGACAGCAAGAAAAATATTAACTGTTTTCTGTTTAGAGCTGTGATTAAACAAAGACTGGATTCCCCTCTTTCAGTTTCAGGAACTAGAGATTCTGAATGCTTTTTATTTGTAACAGATGACTGGAGCAGTTTCCAAGAACATGGTACTAGAGCGCCTTTAATTAGAAATTTGGTAAAACTCAAAATTATATCAACCAATAATAAACTACTAAGAAGGATCAGGCTAGAAGCAACTATCCAAATACAAAAGGCTAAATTTGCCATTCTTCGAGATACTGCTTCTACATTTACTTGAACTACGTAAAGAGATATAAAGAGGCTAATAGCTGCCAGCAAAAGACAACAGGCTACTTTTATCAAGCCTTTGATATGTGATCTGTTCTTATGCACATACAACCCTGTTTGTACACCAGCCATGTGTATTGCCACATACTCCAGGGTAGAGATTATTCCTTCATGGTTGGTCTATTAAATAATAGAACAACCCATGTGCCATTACCATCAGTACCATATAATATTAACCTCTTCAGTGGGGTAAAGTCAAGGGCTAGCTGGTATAATACAGTAATGCTGAGGGCAATAATCCAGGACTTATTTAGGAGAATAATGATCAAAAGCAGTGGTGTTACCAATTTCACAACTATTACAGTAAAGAAAAAGTTCCAGTGAACTCCATACTCAATTAGATGTTCCTGATAGCCTATTGATTTTGTAATGGCTAATAGTCCAATTCTTAGAAAGACCAACAAACAGAGTACAATGAGTTTGTAAAGTAACACAATTTGGACCCTTCCAAGTATTTTCTCCTCCTGATCTCTAGACAAACCATTGCAGTCCCAAAAACAAAGCCACCCACCCCAAAATCCATTGCTCTTGTCCCATAGAGCTCAGTTTTGGCAAATCGTCTGGGAAAAAGTGGGAAGTCCACAGCCAAAATAGCAATAGCAGTAGATGCACTGGTAATTACATGGAAACAGGAGATAGCTGGAATGTATTCTGATTCTACACTGATGTTCAATAATTTTTCAAGGATTTTCTGGAAAAGAACTCTGGCATAGCAAGCCCTCCTTCAGTATATATGATAGAACAGCCCTGCCCCAAAGATAATTACAGTGAGAAGCTCAAGGAGAATAAATGAAGCCCAAATGGTCAAAGTGACTACCACGGGAACTATTAGGACAACAAAGTCAATGAAGAATCTAGTTTTCCAGGTATGTGAAAAAGAACACATGTGCTGTGAGAAAATGATCAGGAATCCTCTGCACCGGATACAGAATGCAGGAAAGCACAATCCCTGGGTGATTTCCAGCACGGTGGTTCCATTGAGGTTACTGACAAAAGCTTCCTTCAACTGCTTTTGAGACATTTTTTTTCTTCCTTTAAAAATAAAAAAGTCCTAGCGGGGAGCAGCGGCTTATGCCTGTAATCCTAGAGCTTTGCGAGGAGAATCACTTGAGGCCAGGAGTCCGAAATCAGCCTAGGGAATATTGCGATATTCCGTCTCTCACGTGCTCCAATGGTGCCCGCGACTCCGGCAGAGGGTCTACGTGGGCCCAGCCGCCGGACTCCCCCTGCACCCGCCAAACCGCTCGGGCACCAACCCTGTTTTCCTTTTCTATAAATGCAGAATTTAAAAGCACATTACTAGTTTTTTGTTTCTTTTTCTCTATTTACTTTTGTTTAAGATAAAGATCACTTCTAACTCAGTATTTGTGAAATCAGAGGCTGGTTTCTCTTTCTCACACTTTAGTCTTCTCTCTACCTTAAGAATGGGAAGATTATATACTCAGATATATTATTGGGGAGCAGATATATGCATCTCATAATTTAAAATTTCTTGCAGGCTTTCAATAGTTAATTATGCTCTACTCTGCTGTTATTTTCCCCTATTTTTATGACTTTGTTCCCACTCAAACAATTGGTGTATAACACATACAGATAGCAAAGGTCTGCCGTTCTCCACCAACATCAACACATTTTAGTTTTAGGGACGGAGCCCTTACAAATCAATATATAAATGTTAATCCTCATTTCAAAACCCCTCATTTATAAATATGTCAGCACTTTCCACATTCATCTAATACGAAACTGTTTACAATAAAATTTTTAATGAAATATTGTGAGTTTGCCAAAGTCACTATCAATTTAATCTCAAAGAACAAATGTAAGTATATACAATGACATTCTCTAAGGAATTGTATCAAATATGAAATGGTTCAAAACAGTCTGAATATTCATTAAAGAGATACTAGCTAAATAACGTATGGCAGTCGGTGTTAGAGGTATTGTTTTTGTTTTGGGGCTTGTGCAATGAAATGTGTGTGCTCAATTTACCATCATTAAGCATCTTTCACCAGAGGCCTTATGCATATTGTTCAATTTCTTGAGCTATAGACATTTTAAGAGAGATACTTCTGATACCTACTACTTTGAGTATTTGAAATGTGATAGAAAGTAATTACCACAGATATTCTGTTCTTTGTTAACAATAAACTTAGATATTTTCCATGACACAACCAGCAAGAAGTTATTCTATATATTTTGTAGCCATCTACAGGAAATGTTATAAATTTCAGCTCTTTCTCTCCATTTTGCTTTTTAATGCAATTTACCTATTTTTCTAAAAACTCTCCAAAATCTCTAATCTGCTCATCCCTCTTCACATTCCTCTTGTGGTTTTCAGTGCTGTCTTATTTATTCTTTTATGTAATTTCTAAGTTCGATGTCAATAAGGTTTTGGTATGGTTGGTAATAACACATGTGCTCACTCTACCACCTTGAGCCAAACTTCTAAAGTTACTTTGATAAGTAAAAAAACCTTAAAATTCTACATTTTGAAAAAAAATGGAGCATATAAACCTGAAGTTATTAAATATTAAAGTAATTTTTTAAATTAAAACAGATTATTTCACTAAAAGGCTCTGACTCAATTTTAAAGGTACCATATATTAAAGAGTTTAATATTTTAAATGAAGTTAGACAGATAATGTAAACAAATGAAGCTGAGTGTGTGTAAGAATTGTGGGTAATGGTGGACTCTGTGGCATTCAGATTCACATGCAGTCTAAACCAAAATGACTTCTAGCCAGATTCTGCCAGCAGATAACATGTGAGCTTTGGTATACACAGAGGCATAGCCAGATGCTAACATCAGGGACAAGCTTATGATGGGGAGAACAGACCCTGGCTATGCAGTGCAGGACAGTTTTAGGTGTGAGAATGAGCACATCAAGATCCTTCTCTATGAATCACACAGTCTTGCTTCCACATTGTTGTTTTGTTGGTTTTTTTTTTCTGTCATCTTTCATTATAATCATAAAAATTGGCACATTGAATCTAACTCTAAAAAAATTCTGTTAAAACATCACTTCTTAGCCAGGCATGGTGGCTTATACCTATAATCCCAGCTACTCAGGAAGCTCAGGCAGGAAAGTCGCTTGAACCAGGAGGCAGAGTTTGCAATGAGCCAAGATCATGCAACTGCACTCCAGCCTGGGTGACAAAGTGAGACTCCATCTCAAACAAACAAACAAAAACAAACACAAAAAATCCACAAACAGAAAAACAAGAAACTTCGCCTCTTTAGAGAATGTGCTCTTTCTCACTTTTAAAATGATACCAGATGTATGTAACATGTCAAAGAAAAGTTGCACAAACAGAAACTAGAGGCAAGAAACTCTTCTTTCAAGGCTATTGCAATAGAAGAGAGGGATTGAACTCATGTTCACTAAGCACAAAGTGGACTGGATTTTAGGCATTGGGGTGAGCTAGTGGAAAAGTACTGGTGGACATTAGGGAGAAGTTTGGTCAGTGTGATTACAATGTCTGTGTTTGCTAATTGTCAGTTATGGAATAGCTAATTGTCACTTATTCCATAGAGATTAAGAGTTAGGGGCACTGTCTTTCTCAATGATTATATTTCAAAGGAAAGGTGCCCAGGTCCTTGAGAAAGACATTTCCTGAGTTGTAAACCTAACAGAAGATTTACTTCTCAAAGGGGCAGACACAAACTTAAAATTGCAAATTTTCTTAAGTAAATGCTCTAAGATACAAGAAGCCAGAAGTTGAGAGCCAGGAAGAAGCCTATCTAATGTTTAGTTGATTTGAGGAGAATGTTAAGCCCATCTTGGGCAAATGAAAGTATGTGGTGATATTTAAACTGATTATATGTATTTTCCATACAATATGCTGGAATATTTTAAACAAGCATATATTTGTAGAAAATTATTAAAATTTTAATAAAATTTGTATCAATGGTAACAAGGTCATTATTATCATCATAGATGTACATAATGAAGTAAAATAGAGAACTTTGGAAAACACTTAGAAAAAAACCTTAAGGCATATCTTATTATTTCGTAATACTTTCAGCACTTTTAGAGTGTTCAGCCAGCTAACAGAAGGATGTAATGGTTGGATTTACATACAGAGATGATCGATTTTGAACTAAAAGCTTAAAATGAGATCAGAACAAGTTTCTCTTCTTTTCTGGTTTTTAGTACAATCCCAACATTGATAGAAACATATTTTCTTTATTTGTGTATTTTAATCTTTACATTCTTTTGATTACCGTTGATGATTATAGATTTTAAAATAATTGGATTAAATATGTTCGATTGTTAACTATTTGAATAGACTCTGAAGACTGTATATAAGTATAGTATTGTTTGACAATCAACCTTATGATGTTTAAAATTTGATCCAGCAATTTCACTACTGGGTCTATACTCAAAGGGAAATAAATCACTGTATCAAAAAAACCCCTGCATTCCTATGCTCCTCACAGCACTATTCACAATAGCAAAGACATGGAATCAACCTAAGTACCAACAGCGAAGATAAGAAATCAATCTAAGTGTCTATCAGTGGAGGATTGGATAAAGAAAATGTGGTATATAAATATCTTTATCCAATCCTTTAGTAATGAACACTTAGATACAGAGATATATACATGTACCATGGAATACTCTTTAGCTATAAAGATAATGAAATCATCTATTTTGCAACAACATGGATGTAACTGGATGCCATTCTCCTAAGTGAAGTAACAGAGAGACAGAAAGCCAAATATACCACATCTTCTCACTTCAAAGTGGGAGCTAAACAATAGATACATATAGACATGCTGAATGGAATAATAGACATTGGAGACTCTAAGAGGTGGGAAGGTGGGATTGAGTGAAGGTTGCAAAATTTCCTATTGGAAACAATATTCACTATTTAGGTAATGAGCACACTAAAAGCCCAGACTTCACCACTACACAATATATGTGTGCAAAAAAATCTGCAATTGTACTCTCCAAATATATAAATATTAAAAAAAATTGTACTTTTAAGTCAAAGAATCTCTCTAGACAGCACAATTGCCTGCCCACACTTATAAATTAATAAAGAGGTCACAGGGTATGCAAAATTATTTAAGTCAATTCAGCCCAAATTTCCATCTAAATATCTTCTGCATTTTTAGTTTTCTCTTCAAACAAGTTGCTCAGTGCAGCGAAAGAAAAGTGAGTGGAGGTAAACAGTAGCTGTGAGATAAGAATGTGTTCCTTGCTTGAATTTATGTCTTGTGTCTGTAATTTCTGATTCTCATGGACTTTTTTTCATACTGCTTCCTCTAATGTCATTTAATCTCTGTCCTAGCCATCACATCAGTATACTACCTGTGAAATTTTATTGATGTAGTACTGACATAGTTTGAATATATGTTCCCATCAAATCTCATGTTGAATTGTAATCCCCAGTGCTGGAGGTGGGGCCTGGTGGGAAGGGTTTGGGTCATGGAAGAGAACCCCTCATGGCTTGGTGCAGTCTTCATGATAAGGAGTTCTCGCAAGATCTGGTTGTTTAATGTGTCTGGGAATTATTTAGGAAAAACCTCAAGACATATCTTATTATTTTGTAATATTTTCAGCACTTCTGGAATGTTCAGCCAGCTAACATTCCAGCCATGGAATGTTATTTCCACTCCTGCCATGTGAAATGCCTGTCTCCCTTTCACCTTCCACCATGTTGTAAGCTTCCTGAGGCCTCTGCAAAAGCAGATGTTGGTGCTATGCTTTCTATACAGCCCCCAGAACCATGAGCCAATTAAATATTTTTTTCTTTGTAAATTACCCACTCTCAGGTATGTCTTTAAAGCAATGCAAAAAGGGCCTAATACAAGTTTCAGTTTTGAAGAACCTTTCCAGGGTAGCATCTATTGGCCAGCTGGAGTCGTGGAGAAGAGGGACACACACTCAGTGGTGGTTTTAGTGGAATGGGCCTTTTATACAAAAGGCAAGAAACATGTCTAATCTTCACTGGTTTAGCATGGCCTTCTTCTTGATAAATCTTCCTTCTTATTTTCAGGATACAAACTCTTTGAAAGCTATTTAAGAATCATTTCTGCCCCACTAAACATCCTTTTTTGTTTGTTTTTAACATTTTCTTCATTGTAGAACTTTGTAGGTAAATGCTGATTAAGCTTGCTTCTACTGTTATTTATGTGTGTAATTGGATTTTTATTGCTTTTATTTTTTCAGAAACTCTTGACTCACTCACTCTTAATTAATTTTATCCTCTTTCTCTAATTGCATTCTAGTCCTTGTCCTGATTGATATATTTCTATAAACTCAATAATTAACTTATTGCTACTCTAATCAAGTGTTAACATTTGCCATTATAACTCAATAATACAATTAGCCCTATTAAAAATGCTAAAATAGTTTGCTTTTTCATCATTCAATTCCTGAATATGGCTAATTGTTTTTTATCCTGATGGATCATGTGCCAAGGATTTGAATTTGCTTCTTTTTGTTGTGTTCTCAAGAATACAAAAAGTTCTTCATGCTTTGGGAAGAATTTTCCTCTAGGCTCTAAAATAAAACTCTTCTATGAAACATTTTGTTTAAATCTATACTTCTCTGAATTTCTTCTTCTCTTTTTCTATCCCTTTAAAAAACCTGTGTATCGTTTTACTATTTCTTATTTCCTCTCTTTGTATCTGTCCATTAATTGGCCTAAGATAGAACTGAGTTAATTTTAAATCAATTCTTACATTTTTAATAAACTTGCATGTCCTTCATATTTTTATTATAGTTTTTCTCGTTTTTCTCCAGAAACAAACCAAAGTTCAAACAGCACTGAAGCCCAAATTAGGTTGGAGTCTCTTTATTGTTGATTTTTTCATTTATTCTGTGCTTTGGGAGATCTATTCCTTAGTCCCTATAGTATAGAAGCTCTTTACTTTGCTCTCAGTTTTTTATTGATGACTGGTAAACCTCTGTTGTGTTCATATGATGCCAAATATGGTTAGAGATGCCAAGGAATGATGAATGTGATTGGGAAGTAGGCACTTCAAACCACTGAGAGTTGTTAAATATAACACTAACTTATGCATGGGCAGAATTATTGCAAATGGGTTGTTAGAGTCTGACACTTCACAACATGAATGTATGTTAGGGGCTAAAGAAAGAATACAATTTCACATTCTCAATTCATTTATGGAAACATTTGTCATATAACTTCATAAGCAATTTTCTTTGTTAGTAATAAAATTGACTTGGACAGGCATCTCTAAGTAAATTAACATAATTAATATGTTTTTATTAATACAGCAAAAATGTTTTCCTCCCAGAAGATTTGACATGCAGCAAGCCTAGCAGCACTTGGCCACCAGCACAGTGTAACTGTGTCTCCCTCTCCACCTACTGCCACATCCCCAGTAGTATTTGTACAATGAGATTTCATGGGCAGGACTGTTCAGGCAGTGTCTGAGAATGAGAATATGAGATATTCCAGTTAAGTGAATGAGATAATTAATAACTTATACTGAGTGCCCACTTCGTTCAGAGCACAAGGTACTGTGGGTGATCATAAAGAAACGGAAGTAAACAAATAATCTCTTTCTGCCTCTTAGGAGTTTCTAGTCATGGTAAAGAGAGGCCATATATTGGGCCCATGCAGGAAGAGAGGGCAGGAGTTATACAAGGCACCAGTCTAAGATGGATGTCAAGATTCAAGAAGGCAGAATGGAGTTGCCACTGATGAAAAAATACAGCAAGATTTTTATATCACTAAGAAACACTGTGACTCATCACTTTGGTGGCATCTTAACCCTTTGTAATTTGAATGTCCTGTCCCTATTAAGTATAATACAGCAGACATTTGTTAAGTACATGCTGCTACATATAATATGTGATTGTGTCTCGATGATGCGACAGTGGTGAAAAAAAGTTTGTATTTTTATCTTCAGAAATTAGTATCTTCTTCTATCCTTCTCTCTATATATACACATACACACATATATGTGTGCATTATATACACATATAAGCAAACAACCACATAATGCAAATGTTGACTAGTACAATATTCATCATTACAAAAAGCAGATTATGGTAGCACAGAAGAAGGAACAAGTAGTTTCTGATAAAAGAATTAAATTTGTATTTTGAATCTCTGTATTTCTGTTATTGTTTAGAAAAATATCATACAAATATTATTTACAATGGGCAGATAGAATCACAAATCCATGTGCAATCGATGATCAGCAGAATAAGATTCAAAAGGCATTTTCTGATAACAGAACAACACCTGAGCATCTAAGAGGCAGGTGGGAAAGGGTGGTGTGGGTTGTGGACAACAGGTGATTAGGAGAAGATGAGCAGCAGAATACTGATAGGAGCTACTTTGTGCTAGCCTGGCACAGAAGAGGACTACTACTGAACATATTTTATTTATGCAGTTCCCCCAACAACCCTATGGCTTAGGAATTTATCCCTATTTTAGAGAAGAAGACACAACTTCTGAATAAGTTGCTTGGCTAGGAAGAAGCACATAGAATATCTCAGGGAAACTTTAATAAATGAGAAACCAAGGGACAACTTGCAAAATCAAGTGGCAAAATATTTATTCACATATATTCTTGGAGGAAACAGAAGAAAGTAACTTTTTGGTACTGATGATAAGAGTAGTTTAAACCTATGCATAGAATATAAGATGAGAAATGAGGCAGAGAGAGAACTAGACTAGGAAGAATGTTCTTTGGGATTTGAATGAAAATAATCTGAAAAGTAAATGTTAATCTATTCTCCTCTTCTGTGTTCTGTGAAGAGGAACCCTGGGCTTTTCCTTGTATAGTTTACATGCTGTTTCCTGACACTATGGTGAAATAGTATTTTTGTATGCTAAATGGTTGGTCTAAAGATATGGTTGGTGACCCAATTATCAAGAAATAGATAGAAAAGAACTGAAGTGTCAGTGCTAATGGGCCTTTCTTTTTCCACTGAATTCAGAGAATAGCATCAGAATGAGCACAAGAGGATAAGCAGGGTACATACTCCTGTCATTTCACCCTAGTTTTCATGCAGAAACTAGTTCATGTGATATTTATTTTAACTATTTTGTGACTCATATGAGCCAAGACTGTGTCCCTAGAAGCTATTTTTAACTATGCTAATGGAAAAATAAAATAAATTGCAGAAATATCAATAGCCTGATTTTATTGGTTAAAAGCTCCAGATTCAATTCTTAAATGTTTTGTGTGTGTTATAGATTTAGGGGGTTCAAGTGTCGTCTTGTTACATTGGATATACTGTGAAGTGATGAAGTTGGGGCTTTTAGTGTACCCATTACCCAAGGAGTGTGCATTATATTCAATAAATAAAAATTCCATTTTTTTGATGTGTATCATTTGTAAAGTTTCTTATGTAATATGGAAATATGACTGAGGGGTCAGCACCTTCAATTATTTATATGGATTTAATAGAAATAGTCAAGCTACTCAGTTTTTATTATTAGCCCAACAATTTTAATGACTGCAGAAAAGATACTTTCTGTGATATACATAGGCAAATCAACAAGAACAACCAAACCCAAAAAACCAAAAAGGCTTTAGCATTTCTTTTAATAGCCCGAGACCAATTCTTTAAGATGTATTACTATAATATAAAGTAAGTGTCAAAGCAAAGAACATCCTTATTTTTAGAAATTGAAAAGAGTTGATAGTAATCTAAGTGTATTTGACTGAACTGATATCTTTACTTAGATCATCTTCAAAGAATATAACATTCTTTGACAGTCTATAAAAGTCTTCATGAATTTGAAATTGGAATACAAAATTACCTTATTCCCCCATAGGCTTCAGGAGTTCTCTACTAGCAAGGCAGTCTGTATATGCACTCTGAAATCTAGCTTGGGTACATATGATTTTTCTTTCTTCTTTCTCTGTTGGAAAGAGAACAAATAGAAGATGCATAAAATCACTCCCATGTTTGTCGATATAATTTCTGAGGGATAAATTGACAGCAAAGAGGAGTTTGATGAAAGACGATGAATTGTACTCACTGCCTTTTATTTCGCCTTTAAGGCTTCATTTCTTAATATAAATTTCCGAGGTTAGGAATTTTACCTATTGTATTCACTGCTCCATCCCTAGGCTTGGTAACATTGCTTGGCACATAGAAGCGTTTTATAAATATTTGCTGAATGAATGAATAAGTGAATTAATCTGTATTAGTCATATGTAGCTACTGATACTTTTCATCGTACCATCAAACCAAATAATTAGTGACGAATTAAATTCACTGCAGATTTAGAGGACGGACATATACATAGTGAATTTGTTAACAATGGAAAGAAATGTTGGATCATATCGATTTGTAGAACAAAATAGTATTATTGATTTTATTATTCACTTTTCTTAATGTCTTTATTTTCAACTGTATTCTTCATGAAATCTCTGAACATTGAAGTTTTTAAATTTTAAAGCCTTCTCAGAAAGGGAAACTGGATATC